TAAAATGCAACAAAGTAAGTTGTTTCTTGTGAGCTATTCTGTTTGATTTTTCCATATGTATTTTATTTCACCTTCTATGACATAGCTTAAATTAAAATGTGTACTTATTTTTGTTTTTAAAAATTTATGTACGTATTAACCATTCCGCAACAAATTTCTCGTTGCGAAGATCAATAAATCATTAACTGATCTTATCTGATTCGCCAGAGTGTGTACTGTTGCGATTTTCTGCGGACTGCTTGGACATTATTATTATTTTTACAGTTTTTGTTGTTGTTGCTCTTGTTGTTGTTGTTGTTGTTGTTGCTGGTAATGGTGGTGGTGTTGGTGTTGATGCTGTCATCATCATTCCCTGCCTGTGTGCTGCCAGGGAACGAGGGCCATCTACGACACTATCGTGGAGGTGACCAAGAACCCGGAGACTGCCGTCATCTCCATCCTCGGGGGCCGAAGTGTGTCCTCCTTTGTGCACAGCATCGACCCCAACCACGAGGGTGTCAGTCACGTGACAACGGGCTACGAGGTGGCGCTCAAACTGCTCTCGGAGAAACGGCTCGTCGGCTTGGACGCCATATCCTTCAACGAGCATGTGAGTGAAAAGGTCGCTTTTAAGCATAACGGGGTTATCCCGAAAAATGCTGTTTTGAGAAAATCGAATGTAAAGTTTTTGCCCCATATTCAGTTTCTTTAAAAGTCAAGGAGACTTTTCTCTATAACCCCAAAAATATGAGCACCAATTAAACCAAACTTCTCCAACAGGTAGGGCAATGTCCACTTTTAGTGTAGGTCAAGGTTTCTGGAAAACCCCGAAATCTGGGTTAGCCCGTTTGTCCTTAAAAGCGACCAAATAATAATGTGTGTCACGACGAGGTGGAATCAGGCGCTAGTCACTTTTGGGGGTCATGTGGACTTATTGGTATGGTTTTAAAGATTGTTTATTTGTCTATAGTTCGCAAAAAAACCAACCTACCCATCTATCTTGAACAGAACTTGAGATATTTGCGATAGAAGGAGATGGGGTCGCCTGGTTTCTGTAGTACGATTAGCGTGAAAATGGCCGCCAAGGTTTGGTGACTTCCAAAGCTGGAGAATCATTGGAAACTGTAAATTTAAATGTTATGAGCTTTTAATCAACGATTTTTAGTAACTTCCATAAAATGCTGGTTTCTTTGAGTTCATTGTTTTGACATACTGTCTCACATATCATGTGGTGCATACAAGCTGTTTACGTGTGAAAATTTTTCACCTTGAAAACTAAAATGGCCAGTCCTTAAGGGATGGTGGTGCACATAAACAGTGTGCTTTTGGGTGAAATCATGAAAACTGTGGTTACCACACATTACATTTCCTTTATATTTCCTGAACAATGTCCTAAAGCGTTTGTGTACCATAACATGGTCTTTGAAGGGATTTTATAGCCGAGGGAAGGGACTTTAAAAGAATAAATGATTACCACTTTTGTCTCAAAAAGGATGTTTTGTACCGCTTATATGCCTCAGTTTTAGTAAGAAACTCCATTCTATTCTGCTTGTATCGCATTACGACAAAACAGTTGGTCAGCTGTATATTGTCGGTGAGTTGTGGACATTGAAAATAAGAAAAGCTTAACGCGCCTACATGATACACGAGATCTAGCAGAGTTACTCTCATTTTCATTGTTCAGAATTCACCGATGAAGCAGCTTGCTGATTGTACTGTCAGTAATACATTTTAATTCTGGAGTATGAAAAGAAAAGACGCCCACTGCGACAACAGACCTCAATAAAATTACCGAGCGTCTATTATTCTCACCGTCCAGAATTCACTGATAAAACAGTCGGCTTCTTGCTTTGTCGGTAAGTTATGTACAATCAAAGTTAAAGAAGCCTACCACATTAAAGGGGGGGGGGGGCTACACCTGAAGGCTATATTTCTTATTAGTGGACCAAGTTTTACCATATTTCACATATATTTATATCAAGCATAGTAAGGCGTCTTAAAATCCGCAAACAAATTTGAGAAAAAAGTTTCATTTCCATGGATACGGCGACCCAATTTGATTTTCTTGATATGTCTTACGTAGACTAATGAATACCGCACTTATCGTATATGGAAACTGATTTTTGTTTTGCATTCAAGTTAACAAACATTAGATCTAAAATTTGGTCTGTTGATTTTTTCCTAAACAAATTTTTAAAAATTTGTAATGAATTTTTTTTCTGAGGTAGCATTCAAGTTTGCCAAAAATTCTTGAAAATCCAAACTCCAAACACCACCAACAAAGATCTATCAAATATAACAAAAATTAAAAAAACAAACAAATTTTCAGTTTTAGTAGATCTATTACATCTTTTCTTCATTCTGTGAAAATGTCATGAAGATCGGATGAAAAAATGGTGGAGTTATTTTAAAAAGTATCAAGAAAAATCGCGTTTTGAAAAAACGGCCGATAAATAAAAATAAAATATTGACTTTTTGAGGAAATGGTGCTGACAAACATGCCCAGTACGAAACAAAATTTGGCTTTTGGGGGTTCCTGTGCGGTGGAATAGTTGTAGGATTGGGTGAGGAAGCTAAAAATCCATAATTGTGGGCCGAATCGGGACTCTGGGTGGTCGAGGTAATCTCACTTTCATTGTCTAAAACTCACGGATAAATCAGTTTCCCAGCTGTATTGTAATTGTGTGGTACTGGCCTATGTTGTCCCGGAATACAAGTCTCTGTTTTTCGGCAATAACAGATGCGAAAACATGTCTGAAACAAACAGACTGTCCATGTTGAAAAAGGGTAGTCAAATACAACTTTTGGAAACCTTATTTTTTAAAGTCGGAAATACTTTCTTTCTCTTGTTTCTTTTAAATGTATTTTATATTATTGTTACTGGTGTTTAGAGGGTGGATTGGTGAGGGGAAAGGTATGGGGGGGGGGGGGGGGGGTAAATGAACAGGGCATTAACGGTAGATACTGTTTTGTTGTTTTTGTTTTCTTTTTAATCCACAAGTCCCCCAATAAGGACAGTGCCACTGACTGAAGTTGTCTTCAGTTCAGCTTCAGTAGAGGACAACTTGAACTGAAGATGTCATCTACTTAAATTGAACTGAAGTTGTCTTTAGGCCATTCCCAAAGGGAGGACATTAACATGCACAATAGAAATGTAAATAGGCTGATTTATCATTGCCATGCTTATACTGTGCAGAAACAACATAGACGAAACTGCTGCTTTTCTTTCCTCATCTTTACTATCGTCATTTTTCCTCTACTTCATTTCTATGTTTGCCACTCTCTAATGAACAGCTATTTCCGGGGTGCCTTGACAGTCGAAGCAGACTGTGTGCTGTTGAGGCTAGAAAAGTGAGCAGAGTAGAAATCTACGCCTGATTCTCCGTTTTGACTTCTCTGTTCACATCCACCCCTTGGCGCTCATAATACGACCTTATTATGGAGTTGCGAGCTCCGTACTATAGCTCCCACCCACCCTCCCACCCCTTCCCTTACACCACTCTTTTTTCTTCCATGTTGTGCATTGTTGTGACCTGAATGTTTTAATAGGATGTGGGTGGGTGGTCACCTTACTTAAACATTTATTTATGCACAGGCCAAAGCTCGTCTGCTGAACCGCCTGTCCATGGACCAGCTCGACATCAAAGACAAGCGCATCCTGCTGAGGGCAGACTTCGCCCTGCCCCCTCGCGGAGGTAGTCATGATGACGACTCCCCTATCAAGACACTGGCCAACACAATCAAGATGATTCTGGTCTGGGTTTGATGCCTGTATTGCTTTTTTTTTTTGTTTGGTTCGCTTCGTCCATCGGTCTGATTGTCTGTTTGTTCGTCTGTCTGTCGGTCTGTCTGTCTGTATGTATGCCCGTCTGTCTGTTTGTCTTTCTCTTTTTTCTTTCTTTTTTCTTTCTCTTCTCTCTCTCTCTCTCTCCACTTCTCTCTCTCTCTCTCTCTCTCTCTCTCTCTCTCTCTCTCTCTCTCTCTCTCTCTCTCTCTCTCCACTTCTCTCTCTCTCTCTCTATTTCTCTTTATCTCTTTCTTTCTCTCTTCGTACAAACTGTCAGTCTGTTTGTCCGACTGTATGTCTTACTCACTATCTGACCTTCTGTCTGCCTGACTTTCTGTTTATCACTGAGCTTCGTTATATCTGTTTATGACTCTGACAGTACATGTATGTAACTCCATCTCTCTAGTAGGCCTCTATTCGGCCATGTCGACAATAGATGCTGCATAAATGGTAAAGGTGGCTATAGCTCGTAAAGCTTGCTGATGAACGTGGATATACACGGGGTTCTCTCTTGGTTTCCGCATTTTTTATTTCTGAAGCCTCATTATCAAGTTACAGTGGAACTCGGATTTAACGAGCTCGGATTCAACGAGAACTCGGATTCAACGAGATGAGATAGATTCCCCGTTTTTTTTTCTTCTTTAAAATCAATTTAAAAAAATAACCCGGATTTAACGAGCACTTAAATCAGCGAGATCGGATTCAACGAGGTCGCTTCCAGGGTGAACAGCCCACGCAGACGTGTCTTTTCTAATTTTTCTCCCAGAACGAACTTTATCTATTCCCAGAAACCATCCATTGCACCTGCATCGTGAACCATTATTCACTTAGCCGATTGCATGCGACCAATCAGCGGCCTTTTTTTCATACCAACACATGCGTTGTTGGCTCGCGCGTGTGTCGGGGTCGGATGGGCGGCCTGCACACGTGTGACTGTGTGTGTGTGTCGGGGGGGGAGGGTGGGGGCGCTAGCGGTCCGGGCGTTGAACGTCACAGTCACAGACAAACGCGTCTCAGTCTTTTTTCCCCCTCCACAACCGATCATTATTACAATGATAAGCTAGATCTTGTCCTGACGTAGAACTACGTAATGATGAATTGTGCGCTGGTCTATTAAATCAAAAGTTGCCGTTATGCTAGGCTCTACTCAGCAACACAACTTTTTGGTAAACAATCGAGATGACAAAGGCGTATGCAGTGTGCTTTTAAACGAATCGGGTTTTTTTTTTTTTCCTTTTTTTTTACACAGCTCATAATATGCAGGCATTTCAGACACTACTGGTGACTTCTTTGTACATTACTTGCTCAGTGCCTGTTATTGTCTACACAAAACCTCGTGTTTGCTATAACGAACACTCGGATTCAACGAGATTTTAGGTCTGGCCGGCAACCTCGTTGAATCCGAGTTCCACTGTATCTAAATTGTGTTGATTGGGGCTTAAAATATGTGCAATTACAATATGGTGTCACAGCGCGGTGGAATCAGGCACTCATCAATTTTTGGGCAGGTTTGAGTTATTGGTATTGTCTTAAAGAATGTTCTAGATCGATAACAACAACACAGCGGGATCGATTGTTCGTTTGTCTCGCTTTCAGTGAAAACAATACCTTCTATCTTAAATAACAGTCCAGATATTCGCCATTGAAAGAGGTGGTGTTGCCTGGTTCCGGAGGAAAACTAGCGAGAAAATGGCCACCAAAGTATGTGGATTTCCACCGCTTGAGAATCCTTGGAAGCAGCGTTTTTCAATCGAAAAATCCACGCTGAAATATGTTTTCGAATTGACAAATCAGGTGGTGAGCCCAACCCCCCCCCCCCACACCCACCCTATAAATTTGATAAAAATTGTCTAACCAACTAAAAAAAATATGCCGCTTTCTTCTATCTCATTATTTCGACAGGCTCCTGATTTCACCGTGATGCCTCACATAAATTATTATTATAATAATGCATAGGACTGGCTATTCCTTCTCCAGAAGTGGGTGGCTGGCCGGTGCTCTGGTGTGGTTTGCTCCTTCTTTCTCTTATTAAACAATATCGTCTTTATGTCTCCTCCTTCAATTGTTTATGTTTGTTACTCTCTTGTAACACCTCTAATCTCCGGCACTTACATGACCTTATTGTATTGCGAGTGTCGTAAAACTTTTACACAATAAAGTCATACAAGTGCCGCAGATTTTATTGCATCTGCCGTAAAACTCTTACGTGGGTGGTTGGCGGGTGCTGTGGTGCTGTTTGCTCCTTCTTTCTTTCATTAAACAAATATCGTCTTTATGTCTCCTCCCTATTTTTTATGTTTGTTACTCTCTTGTAACACCTCTAATCTCCGGCACTTATATTATGACCTTATTGTGTTGCAAATGCCGTAAAACTCTTACTAAAACTAAAACTTCTCCAGAAACGTGGCGCGACGTGCGTGGTGCTGTGTGGCCATCTCGGGGAGCCCAACGGGAAAAGGGACGACAGTCTGTCTCTTGGGCCCGTTAAAACGGCGCTGGAAAAGATACTCAGATCGGTCGGTTGGAGAATCAGTCTTTTGTGAAAGAATGTCTCTTTTCTGGCATCACGTTTATGCGTGTCGTGTTGTTGTTGTTTTTTAACCTTTGTTTTTACCCAGAATTTGTTTATTTATTTGTTTGTCTGCTTATTTGTTTGTTTGTGTGTGTGTATTTTTTTTCTTTTGTTTCTTTTTTTTTTGTTTCTTTGACGAGCGCTTGAATCGTATGTATTAACCGCAACACGGCAAATTTTCTCTTTGCGACGATCAATAAATTGCTCTTATCTTATCTTATCTTATTTTATCTTATCTTATTTTATCTTATCTTATCTTATCTCCTTCTCCAGCCTAGACGGCCTTCTTCGAGGCTGGCCTGACGGATACAATGGATACATTCATATCTTATCTCATATAATCTGATCACATCTCATCGCAACCTCAGTGCTTTCTTGTCGTATCTCCATGTTTAATACCAGTTAAAACAGATCATACCAAAGAGTGAGCTTAAGAAGAAGTCACATTTTCACTGTTAAAAAAATGAAGGTACGACAAGAAAGCACTGAGGTCGCGTTATCTCAACTCATCTTATAATATCCTTGTCCCTTGCCTAGGAAATTACTTTCATCGAGGCCTGCTTCACGGATTCAGTGGATACATTCTTATCTAATCATATCTTTGCATCTTATCACATCTTATCTCACCTTATCTTATACTATCCTTGTCCCTTGCCTAGGAAAATATCATCTTCGAGGCCGGCCTGACAGATACGGAGGATACATTCTTATCTTATCTTATCTTATCATATCTAATAACATCTTATTTCTCTCTATGGGTGGTTGGCAGGTGCTCTGGTGTGGTTTACTTCTTCTTTTCTATCAAACATCTATCTTCCTTATCTCCCCATCTTCTTTTGTATGTTTGTTACTCTCTTGTAACACCTCTGATCTTCTGGCGCTCAAATGACCTTATGCATTTGCGAGCACCGTAAAATCTCTTATCTTATCATATCTTATTACATCTTATCTCATCTCATCTTTTACTATACTCGACCCTTGCCTAGGAAATTCATTTCTTCGAGGCCGGTTTGACGGATACGGTGGAGGCAGCGTGCAGGACCCCTGAGGCAGGCAAGGTTTACATGCTGGAGAACATGCGCTTTAACCCGGAGGAGGAGGGCTACGGATTGGACGCCTCAGACAGGCGGATCAACGTACCCTACCAGCAGATCGAGGAGTACCGGTATGTCGCTACCTTTTTGGGAGGGTTTTGGGTGTGCAGGGAAGGGGGGGCGGGTATGTGTGTATGTGTGTGTGTGTGTGTGTGTGTGTGTGTGTGTGTGCATCTGTGTCTGTGTTTGTGTGTGTGCATATATTATTTGTGTGTGCGTGCGTGCACGGGCGTGTGTGTGTATGCGTGTGTGTGTGTGTGTGTGTGTGTGTGTGTGTGTGTGTGTGTGTGTGTGTTAGCGTGGTGATACAAACCAATATTATAATCTGGACAGTAGATCTTATCTTTGAGAAAAGATGATAAGTAACATCAGAACCTACCAACAGCTTCAACTCTCGCTGAAATGCATATAAATGTGCGTAACTGGCGGCGAGCACTATTCTCTTCTCTACCTGTCTCTGATTCCTCTCTTGCACAGAGATCGACTCTCCAGACTAGCTGATATCTTCATCAACGAATCCTTCGGGGTGCTGAGGAATACTGACAGCTCCATTGTGGGAATAAAGATGGAGCAACGGGCAGTGGGTATGTAAGACATACTTCTCATCCTCGACCTTGCGACTCACTACACTTGCTTAAACTGTAGGTAGTGTCACCCAAAAATCCAAAAGATATGAAGATTTAGTCTACAGCGAAACAGAATTGAAAATGCGTATTTTGCACATGAAAAATAACACGTACGAATTCGCTAATGAATTTCAAAGCACGCCTAAGACTCTCAAAAGAGCTTTCCAGGAATATGATGTCATGACTGTAAAAACTCGAAACTTTAACAAGACTATGGAGTGGTGTCGAAGACAGTGACAATTTTCATTCAACTGGTTAGGAGAATTTGTTCTTAATCTTTTACAATGGCAGTGGTGTTACAAAAGCCATATGCACTCACGTACACACGTAACAAGAAATAGAGAGTCATTGATTACCCGATCTTGAGACATTAATTACCTGATCATATTATCATTATGTTTCTGGACAGGCCCACAACTCAAAGCAGAGTTGTCCAAATTCGCAACGGTTCTGCCCAAAATCGAATCCCCCATTCTAGCCATTGTCGGCGGTGGCGAGGCGTGGCACAAGGCGGACCTCATCTACAACTTGATTGACGTGGCTTCTGACATCATCGTGTGCGGGGATACGGCCTTCACCTTCCTCAAGGTGGCCAAGGGTATGGCTATCGGGAAGAGCCCTTTCGATATACAAGGATCCAAGCTCGTGCCAAGGTGAATGCTCATGGGGCGCTCTCATACTCGGCACCTACATGATTTATCTGTAATGTTGTGTTAGTGCCATAAACCCTTACTAAAACAAATAAACTGTTGTTTTATTTTTTTGTCAGTGTAGGTGGTTGGAAGGTGTCACTGGTGGGCCCTACTTCTTTTAACCCTTTAGTTGTTGTTTTCTGTCTGTTTTACCCCCCCCCCCCTTTTTCCCCCAAATGACTAAGCGATCTTTATAGTGTCTTTGATCGTTGTATTTCTCTTTACTTACTCAAACAATTTCGGAGAAGCTGTCATTTCTGGAGTAGGCATATTGTTCTTCACTAAATTTCACAAAAAATTAACATACATAGTATACTTTCTTCACCAGTGTGTCTATCTTTTACCCCAAATGTATTAATTCCTAGTTCTGGATGAGGGGTCATACTGTGACCTGGGTGACTACCCCCCCCCCCTCCTCAATTTCCCCCTCTAAACGTCTGGGGAGATTGACGTAGCCCCTGCATACAAAAAAGCGTACGCTTGTGTTTTGCCTGTCTGTGTGTGCGTGCATGTGTGTCTGTGTGTGTGTGTGTCTGTCTGTGTGTATGTTAGTATGTGAGTGAGTGTGTGTATGTGTGTGTGTGTGCATGTATGTATCTATGTATGTATGTCGTGTGTGTGTATGTGCGATTGGAATTTACTTCTCTTTATTCTCACTTTCTCTTTTTGTTTTACAATCTTATAATCAAAACCTGCTAGAGTAATAAAGAAAGCCAGGCTGAACGGCGTCCAACTTCACTTCCCCGTGGACTTCAAAGTTCCCGCGCCGGTGGAGCCCGTAGAGGAGGGCCAAGAGCCGCCAGAGGAGCAGCCTCCGGATGTGTACACGCTGGAGGAAGGTATACCGGACACACTGAGAGCCATGGACATCGGAGAGGACTCGGTGGCCGCCTTCGCAGAGCTCATTCAGGTAGGGGGAAAACTTTTTTTTATTTTTTTTATTTTTTAT